AACCCCATATCACCGCTTTTCAGTCTCAAAATAATCATTTTTTTAGCCCACGATGAGCCGCCAACTTGGATCACTACACCGATCAAATTCCCACCCAACCAATCTTACCTCTCCAATCCCAATAATACCACTTTTTGCTTTTCCGCCACCCGATTTTCCATCTAGTAATGTAACATCAGGCATGAATTCCGACACTAATTCACACATCTCAGTTTTATATTCCATCTCACAACTCAATAACCCGAATATTGAAACCCCCGATGAATTTGCCGACTCAGAACCATCCCCATCCAATAATTTTCATAACTCTTCTAATTTTTCTCAACCCCCTTTTCAACCCATATTATCCAATAACCCTGACCCAATCACTTCCACACCCTCTTATGCTTCCCAAGTTACCCCAACCTACTCCTCATTTCATTCTGACCAATCATCTCATTCTCCAGACACCCCCCGAATCTCCCCAGAGCTAGATAATTTTATTACCCTTCAACAACAACCCTACCACCTCCATACCCCAACAATAAACCAAATCTCCTCCACAATAAATTCATCCAACCCCCCTACCCCTACACCCTCTTCAAATTATACTGAATCATTAGCACCATCATCCACATCAACTGAATCTTCACTCAACACTAATAGAGCTTACCGCACTTTTAAAAGAAAGTTCCCCAACCATCCTTTCCCAGCAAAACCAGGAACAGCCCGTGAATACATCAACCACCCCAAGCATACTAACACAAAAGAATTTTTAGCCATCACCTTACCCTCATTCCCACAATACACCTTAAACACCCCCCACGACACTAACGAAACACGCAACTTTGTAGATGAATACGTTTTAATGCCCACTCTCTCTTGGACCTCATATTATCATTTTACTAACCCTCTTTGCTTACCTTTATCTAACACTCACATCGATATAGAGCGAAATACGGACATGCTATATCGACTCACTACACCACTAACCGCTAGACAATTTACTTACGTTGGATATAAAAAATCACTAAAAACACACACTGCACCTAGAGCTAACGAATATACACTCGAATACTATGATCACAACATCATCAGAGCTAACCAAGATCAATTCTTAGACGACGATCGCTTCGCTAATCCACAAATTACCGAGAAATTTTTCATCAAGACACCATATATATTTACACTAAACATCTTCGTTCGAAAGTTTGATCACATTATTTCAGAAGCACTAACAGACACACAAGCATACGAAAGTTTTAAAGAACGCTTCCAAATATTTTCACTAACCTTTCATTTCCTTGCACCACACGAAAGAGATTTACACTGCTCACACGATATTATGTTGCGCACTAAACAAACCCACACATATAGTTATTATCGCTTCATCCAAAATCACTTTGACCTACACACACCCTCTAGACAACCACACCATCGTTTTCAATTCATTAATTCCAAATACACTTCACCATTTTTCCTAAATTTCACATATTGCATTAAAGATACTAACCTTCATGGTATTCTTCGCAATTATGATCCCATAACCCAAATGTACATCTTCTGTCCCATCACCAAGACCTTCAACGCCGAAGAATCCCGACCCTTCCTTATCCCGCACGAGTTTGTACAACCTATAGAAATCCCAATTTTAGAATTCATCCACAACACTAAATTCAATCACAAATTATATAATCTAATCCAAAACACACCTTATGAGTTTGCAGTTGGCACAGAAGAACTAACCACTATTAAGGCACTTCAATTGCTTTGGCCACTGCTTCAGACTAAAAATATCATCCGCATCTTAGCTAAACTACTAACAAATTCCGATCTCATCCACGACATCTTCCCCCACGGTTTTTTCCCCGACGACTAACAGGTAAGTATGAATTAAATGAATATTACTAACTAATTAAAATATTAAAAAACTCACCATACTTTATCCATGTTTTCTTTAGATTTTTAGCCTTCATCCGACAATTACCTACAAAAACCACAAAAGACAAATAAAAATCGCAAATTTCATCAAACAGATTTCAAAAATTCTATTAATCTCTTACACTTATAAATTTATAAATTTAATACCAATGCAGTAAATTCATTTCTAAAATTTTCCCCACAAGCAGTAAATCTAATTATGATGAAAATTTGTAACTTAAAATTCCCCCATAACTAGCAGTAAATTTCCAAATTCTATGCAGTAAATTAATAAAATGCAAATGCAGTACTAACCTTTTGATATTCTCATTCATTCGCACAGAAATTCTATCCACACTCGCACAGCTCGCCCACGAAGAATTGTTTAAAATAATGAATTTCAGTTTCAAGTTTTCACACTCAACAACTCTAACATATAATAACATGTTTCAAACCTTCCTTTAACCCGGTTGGAAAGGAATCATATACTAAACAAAACTAACCAACGCAGCTTACTAAATACCACAAATCATAGAATAACAGCATGACTAAGAAAAGGAAACCAACGGTACCCAAACCGGATTAACCCAGTTTAAAACTGGATAATTTATTCTTTTGAAGACTATTATAAAGTCTAAGAAAGAAATAATAAAACACAAAAAAGTCAAAAGACAAACCCATACCACGAACAATTTGCTTTTTGGAAAAAGGACATAACCAACAAGACATAAGAAAAACCACAACAAACCCAACATAAAACGTTGTCACAATAACAGGACCCCTCATAAAAACCGCATGAAATCATACTCCCACTCCTGGCCTAACCCACCAGGAAGGACGTCCTGAGCATGCTCTATAGCCGGCCTAACCCACCGCGCTACATCCACGCTTTGTGACCACACCTCTATTTTTAATAAGAGCTACTCAAGGGTGAGTAACTCTTCAAAATAACCGAACTAAAACAAAAAGCTTTTGTGAAAACAACTAACTAAAATCATAATTAAAAAATATTAAACTAATAAATGTTTTATAAAATGTAAATTACATTATGCAATACATAGATCAGAATATAACACCAAGGACGAACATCTAAAGACAAAACGACCCCACTACACTCGAGAGAGAATGGCCAACCACAATCGATATGCCACTCACAATCACAACTCAAAGGATTTAGAGTACGACTTGACTTCGCAGAAAAGGACTTCATTGAACTAGACCAATGACCACCTCGATGTTCAAGTATACGTACAGATCCGAGTAACCAGGCATCCCCTCCACGCACAATCTCCACGCCATTCCCAAACTAGATCAGACACAAAAGAAGTTCTCCACGCAGAACAGAAAAACCTGACATAGCCAACCATTCTGAAATCAGATTTGAGTTTGTTGCAAAGACTTAGTCGTTGTCACTAGAAGACACAACGTCTTATGTCTCTAACTCCAGCTTCCTGGAACTTCTTTAACAAAGAGGAAACGGAAGAAAATGATGTTCGCCAAAAACCAACGTCCATCATCCATCCTTCGAATCGCAGAAGAACTATTCTAAAAAACTCTGTAAAACCCGGATGGGTGGAACCTGATCTAAACTACATTTTATGATTGGATAAATTAGATATTTTACCAATGTAAAGTATTTAATATTAACCAATCATGATCCATCTAACTAACAACCCACTTATTTGTAAGTGCTGAAGTTACTTGTAATTTCAGCACCAGAGAGATTTGAATTTAACTTAGAAATTAGTTGGACTCTCCCGAGTACTTCAGCAGCCGCAATAAACCAGTATACCCTAGATCTATTGAGCCTAGCAGAGACTAGTTAAACAACCTGAGACTAGATAGTATAAGAGTAAGATTAGGATCGGTATTAGACTAAGAAGTTGCACGAATCTATCCGGCCGAAAATAAGATAGCGTGACGAGCAGACGGTGTACCCTATCCGAAATTACTCTATGAGTTATACACTCCAGTCCTAACTCAGGATGTTGTTAATCCTCCTTTTCTGTTTCACACAAGCTTGAGTCTTAGAATGTAAACTCTAATCTCACAAGCCTATGCATACAGAACTAATATGATTGAAATTACCTGGCATGTCAAATGAAAAATTGAAATCTTTTCAGATGGGAAAACGAGATGAAAAGCCCAGTCGAGATTTACTGCCCAATTTCAAGCTCGGCTTGAGCGGTTCGAGAGGTTACTATATACAGAAACATACCATAAATTTACGGTGAAACGCCAACAAGCTGAAGGGCCAACAAACCCAAAATAGCATAACAATTGCAACAACCCAAAATTTCATATTGTTATGCAAGATAGCAACATTGTTATGCAATTGTTACGTAATTCATATGCAATTTACGTTATTCTGATGTAATTTTGACGTCAAGATATGGGTCTAGGACAACAAGCCGAAGGGACTTGACGCCGAAATTTAATTTTTACATACACCTCAAATCACTTTTTTTAATCTGTAAAATGTTGCTTTTGAAAATTTTAGGCAAGTTTAGACCAGATCAAGCGTTATTCATGACAATAAATCACGTAGGATTGACATCCGTTTATAACATCAGCCGGTTTTTGAAATGCATAAATTATAAACAAGAAAATTGTCTTCAACCGTGTTTTAATTTTCAACTTTCCGTAACATCATTCGGAGGCTTAAATTTCATGAATACGCCAATAACTACTGAAGAAAAATCATGAAATTGAGTAATTCTCCAAAAACGTTTACAATTTAATCATATTTCATGAATTGACAAGAAAATTTTCGGCTTGAAGTCCCTAATTTTACAATTCGGCTTGAAGTCCCGTCGGCTTGATGTCCGGCACCCTCAAGATATGGCGGTTTCTAAATGTGGCGGTTTTTATAAGTCGATGAAATTGATCTTCCGAGCTCTCCTAAAGCACTAAAAAGTCCGTTTCGGCCAAAATTTCTGCGCCGCAGGCAAAATTTGCAAAAACAGGCCAAAAGGCATTCTTAGGCACTTTTTGGAAAATTCTTACCACTAAATCGTTTTTTTTCTGGCGCGCGCTCCTTTAAAAAGCACAATTTCAAACAAACAAGCTTATTTTTTGTCACCTTATAACTTTTCACTAACCCATCATGGCTTTCAGCTTGTAAATGGCCACGCTGTAAAGAGGGTCCACCTTCTTCAGTTTCTCAAGATGACGACACAGGGATGAAATTTCTTGTCTGGAAGCAAACAACTTCTTGGGAAGAACTGCTTGTTTAGCTTCACCATAAGGCAGCTTCACGCTTTCCACGGTCGATATTTTAGGGGCTGTTCTTTTCTTGCGACTCACTAACGCGATTAGCTTCTCAAGTCGGTGATTATTTGTCCCATAAGGTTTTAGTGTCGGGTTTAAGTCGTGTCGGCGTGAAAAATCAGACTCTCTCGCTGGTACACGGGTTGCGGAGTTTTTCACGTCACCCTCAATTACGAGTCGTATGCTGTCGGTTGACGTCAGACCGACTGAAAACTTTGAGTTCGAACTGTTAATCGCGCTGAAATCGGCAAACGACACCCGAGCTGAGTGAAAAATACCGCCATTATTGTTCGGAATTGAAGATATTGAAGCCAATTTGTCTTGTGAAATGTCAATTTTCGAACGTAAAGAATTAGACTGTTTTTCTTGCCTTTTTTCCCGGTTTTCTGCCGATAATCCGGCTTTCCATTTTGCGACGCTTTTAGGAAGTGGTTTGGCTAAATGTTCCATTTTGGCCTCGTTGACTTTGATGAATTCAAATTCAATTATTGCGATTCTTAATTATGATTGATGGTTTGCGATAAAATTTTTTTAGTGTCAAGCAAGCCATATTTTCATTAAAAAAGAGGAAAACAAAAAGATTGAACAAGATTTGTTTGTTCGATCAACTTAACGGTAGTTGCATAGCCATAATTCAAGCACCTATCTCACTAAAAATCAGAGTTATATCCGTAAACAAGAAACAATAAACAACCACCAATAACCTACAATAAAGTTATATAGCATAATTGTCATTAACTCACATCAAAATCTTTGGATAATCTTTTTGATAAAATAACTTCAAAAAACACGAGAAACTTTAGAAAAATCTCTTAAACTGAAAAAAGAAAGATAGCAAAGGGAGAACTTCTTCAGGATTTGTGATGCTTTTAGACTTCGTGAAATGTCTTCTAATCTTCCCGATGAACAGAAAAGAATTGCACCTGCTAGGCGTAGAAGACAGATTAAGAGGGATTTGTGCCGAACCACGGAGCACAAAGAAGCTGCTACTTCTACTATAATGGTTATTGTGTATTAGGTATTGTGGTTATCTGGACCGTGTTTCGGCATTGTTCAGTGCATTTTTTAAGACCTCAAACTGGATAACAAAATGGAAAATATAATCACTAAATCACGCAAAAAATAATGTCAAATTTGTTATTTCTCATTCTAAAATAGTCCCTGATTATAATACGCATCAGAAAAAAATTGCGCATGGTATGATATCTGTTGTTAAAATGAAGCACTTTGCTTTTAATTTGTTTTGAGTTGTAAGTCAGAATAATGCGCCAGGGGCGAATTTAGGGGGGGGGGGACGGACCCCCTGCCAACCCAAAGGGTCCCCCCTTTGTAATATTTTGAGATATCCATTTTTGGTGACGGAGCCTAAAAATTTTCTTAGGGTGCCCTTGGGCGCCAATATATACTAATTTTGAGGGGGGAGCGCGCGCCGAAAAACCGTGATTTTTTGGTAAAAATTTTCCAAACAGTGCTAAAAACGTCTTTTCTGGCCTGCTTTTTCAAAATTTTGCCTGCGGCGCAGAAATTTTGGCCAAAACATGGTGGTTTTATTGCTTTGGGCGAGCTCAGAAAATCTATTTGGTCGACCTAAAAAAAAAATGGATAAAAATTTTGATCGAGGTCAAGTCAATGCACGACCAGGAAAAAAACTCATTCAACTCGGAACGAGGTGAAAACAATGCTCGACCAAGATCAACGCTCATTTAAGAAAAGCTGAGAGAAAATCAAACAAAACTGCTTCAAATTATCAAGTACTTCAAATTAGCGTGGTTTTTTGTACGTTTCTTGCATTAACAAACGAAAAAGGAGTAACAAACGAAAAATAAAAAAAAAATAAGACAATTCAAAACTTTTCTCTTAGTTTTTTTTTTACCAGGGAAGTGCCAAAAAAAGCTTTAAAAATTAGGTTTGCGTTTGGAAAATCGAATCCATTTTTTAAGACTGAATAACCAATTTAACAAGTTAGCATCACTTTAATTGGTCGAAGTTAGACGAAAAACCAAAAATTTTAAACCTGTTTTTCTCGACATTGGGAATTTTTTGTAGTCTATCGGATCACGACTGAAAGCACTATAATATGAGTTATCACTGAACCCAGTTCAATTATTTTTGTGGTACCTGATTTTGCGTGGAAAACCAAAAAAAAATACTTAAACACACCCGAATACAATTTTTCTCCCTATTCTCAATGATCAAAACAACAAGAAAAGAGAAAAAATCATTCGGTAAAAAACGAGTTATTTGCATCACAAAAAAATAAAACCAATAAAGTTAACCAAAATATATTTCGCGAAAAACTTCAAGCAGGCAAAAAATAGGAAAAGTTGAACTTCATATGAGTAGCATTTTTGTTAATGGAACCAGTTTAAAATGGGTGTGTTTAACCAATTATATTCTTGATAAAACTATCTCTTTGAAAATTTTCTTACTAACCAATCGTGATCCATAACTAAAGTTGACAACTATTTGTAATGCTGAAACTACTTGTATTCTCAGCACCAGAACATTTTAAATATAACTTAGAAGACAGTTAGTCTCCTTTGGAGTAAGTTCAAGATACCTAATACGCAAATACCAGTATACACTAGATCTATTGAGACTAGAAGATTTAAGAGTAAGATTAAAATCGGTATTAGACTAAGAGGTTGCACGAATCTTTGTCGGTGTACTTTATCTGAAATTACTCAATTAGTAAGCTATTCGAGGCAGAAAATCATCTGGTGCAACCGAAACTCTCAAACAAGACCTACTAACAAAGTAGATTTAGCAGAATTGATTTAGAAACAGGATCATCACATGAATTGTAAAATTGTAAATTGTTAGATAACATTGACAATCTAACAGATATGTCTCTACGTCTCAATACGTCTGCTCAAACATTTCAAACGATACGGTGAACACCAGGTCAAAAACTGAACAACAAACCGAGCTGCTACATCGTGACACGACGCAAATTGCAACGAGTTTTTTTCTACAGAATTCTTTATGCAGTAATGTTTCTTTCTCTAACATGAAAATAAATTACTTGGAGTAATCAGATTCATTTCCAAGCAATATTTTTCTTGATAATGTATTACCATATTGTATAGTCATAATAACAACTGATAGAAAGAAACAGTCGTTACTTTCATCAAGACGACAGTTGTTTAGAAAATTTGTAAAATTGAAAATTATTGATAAAAAATACAAAAATTAGTGAGTAATAAAATAAAAGTTAATTTTATTTAGTTTATCGAAGTTGCTTGCTTCTCAATGGACCTAATCCTTTCACGTTTTTCATTTTTCTCCAATCCTTCTCATACTTTTCACCTCGTCTGAAAAATAACTTTTATTATTCAAAGTCTATTATGATTTAATTTTTTAATCTTCTTTTCTTTTAAACTCTAAGTATTTTAATTAGCTCAAATTTAAAACTTAAATATTATCAAGGCCTATCCTTGCTTTGTATTAACCTTAATTTCTCTTCAACTAGAGATCTACTTGTGTTCTAACTATTCCTGAACCTTGTGGATTGGTTGAATTTTCTTCCTTACTCGATCGCAAAATCACAACCCTAAGTATGGTTAAGTAAAATTTTCTTAAAATAAATCTTAGCCACCGCGAAAGTAAAACATTATTCATCTTAATTTATATACCTTCTCTTCAACCCATTAATCTCGACATTCTAGGCCTTAAGTTAGGCTACTCTCACAACAAGCTTAACAACTAACAGCTAAGGAATTAAAAATTCTACCCCCTGGTTTTTGCATCTATCATCCTCAATCTTATGTCAAGAGATAATTTAGGCAAGAACAAACAAAAACTCTCCACAATTGTTTAATTCAAAACGAAAGATATGACCTTGTAATAACACCACATATACAAAAAATTGGATTTTTTAGATTAAAAAAAAAACAAACAAAAAAAGGCAATTATAACAAAACAAAAACATTTTATTGAACGAAAATTTTCCAAAACACGAAACAAAACAAGAACTTCAAGACCTAAAAAATTCAATTGACAAAATAAGCCAAACAACGAACTAAATTTTTTTTCTGGATCAAAATTCAGGATAAAAATTCATACCTTTGTAAACCGGTACGAATACACATTTGGAAGAAAACAATAAGACACATTGAAAAATAAACTTTAACTTTGATAAAACACAGAAAATGATTCAAAACGACAAAAATTTTTAATGATGATTCTATTCTTCTTTTCGTCAATCACCCACAAAGCGATCCCGCTAGAGGACAAATACAATTTTGCCATAGTCTAATAGCAAATTTGTTCGAAAAAGGAAATAGCCCAAGTAAACCAAAAATCCCCGAACTAAAAATAAGAAAGCAACTATTTGATCACTATTTACCAGATATTAGTAATATCATCTCATATTACGGAACACTTACTATTGAAAATTTGCAATCACACACAAATCAAATACCACACCGAATACAAAACAGAAGACACAGAACTACATTTCTCAAAAACTTTCACAAAATATATCAAAAAAAGTCAACACCAAATTTCACAAAGAGCAAACTCAATTTTCACAAAAGATGTTTTCTTCATCATTACAATATAATTACAATTTTTTATTAGAATCAAACGAATTTTTAAATGCGTCACCACCTACAACACCTCGACATGCAATAATAAGCCACAAAATCAACCTTTTCTCGCAGTTTCTAGACTCGATTCGTGAAACACTCACCGATGATGATAAATCACAAATAGTGAATTTTGATCTACGAAGAATCCTACCATGGTTCATAATAGACTATTTTGTACATAATTTAGACTTTATCTCAACAGCAAGAACAAATATCTGACCGCAAACATCAGACGATGAAAATATATTAGTAGACCAAACAGACTATGTATGGGACCCTGAACGGTCTCATATATTACTTCTCAAAATATGTAATGCTATTTCAAGTGCAGCAATCGTCACTTTCTCCTTGCACAAATGTTTTTTAAGGTAACTCCACTCACTACGGATGCAACACCTTTAAAATATAACACAAAATTTAATGATAGAACAAGTAAGAATAGTTTAAATTCAACAATTATACAATTACAGGAACCCTTAATGGTACTGGAAAACTTACGCAACAATATATTTAAACCTCATTACTTTTTATAAACGAAGAATTTGTTGAAACAATACCTACAACAACACAGCAAAATATCTCTCCCGTTCAGCCAACAATCAAAACACCACAAAAAAAACCCTTCCCACAAGTAACAATGCAATCGACAGTCAAACCATCCGTTGTTCCAAAATATTCCCAGATGGGTTATCAAACATATAAAACAATAACTAAAACGCGACATTCGAACAAACAAAAACGCACAAACAGAAGTAATTTCGCAAATCACAACTATGATTTGTACACAAACAACAACATTAGTAACCCAATAGCAAATTCTCTTTGCACAACACGGCATCAATCACAAGAACATAATTTTACTCAACAGATACCACAACCAGTTTTCCAGTCAGTATTCTTTCATGAAAAACGGAAAACTCCAGCAGACCGTACTGAAAATCATCCATTTTTTCAACAAAACAAAAACCAACAAAGAAACAACTCACAAGAAGTCAACCACATTTTTCCGAAGATGA